TTTTGAAAAAGATTTTTATCATAATTGTTTTTTGACGTTCTACTGAGATCTGTTAAGTGACCACTGTTTTGCAGGCTCTTGTCATGTATGACCATAAATAAAAGTTTAAAACCAAAATAAACTATATGTTTTTTTTCAACTTTCAAATCAGAAGCAAAGGTCAGCTTTTAAACTTGACAGAAATAAGAATTTGATCTTTTCATGATAACTATTGATGCTGAATGATATTAGATTTTTTTTAATTATAACATTTTGGGCCCCAGCCGATTCTTTCTGAAATACGGAAGAAATAAAACCGAAACCAAAAGTCTTAAACATCTGTTTTTGATTGAGGAAACCAAATATAGATCTTTGAAGCACAGTGAACTGTCCCATATTTTACATTGAACCACAAAGCTTTCAAACCCTATACTTGCTACATCAGCAGTGAGTTGTAAAGAACAAGTTTACGTTAGCCAATCTACAAAATGACAGATGAGAATGACTCTGAACTAGTACAAACTTGATAAAGTTGTCAAACAATAATCTTAAAGCTATACTTTACCTTAGCGACGGTATCTTCCACGGCGAAAGCTTTTTGCTGTTGTTTCTGCTATTCTTTTATTGCCGGTTGGCAAGCCAGCTTATATGCCTTACAAGCCCCAGGCACAGGGCACGTGGAAAGGTAATAAACCTGTAAAACAGCAGAAATGATGAGGCTGAGGAAAATTGCTGCCATTGGTCTAGACGGTCTTCCCAGAGTTCATTTAATAAATACAGTAATTTTAGTCATTACATGAAGTCTTTTTGCACATCACTCAGTAATATTCAACTAAGTAACCAAATTACATAAAGTGAATAAAATGTATCTAGCACACGCATCAATTCATCATTTTCCTCATTAAAAGGGAATTTAAAACTCTCGTAGCCTACAGTGAATGTAAACCTTCGAAATATTAACAAAAAAGTATAATACTTAAATATATAAAAAGGGAATTTAAACCTTTTATATTAACAGGGATAAATCTCTCATAGTTCTTACTGACAGAACCGTTCACTGTCCTCAATTTAATAAAAGATCCTGGCAAGATAGTGACATTTTTTTGTAAACAAAATACAAATAAAATACTTCATATGTGAAACCAGCGCCCAGCAGCCGTAAACGTTAATGGTGGACATTGACCGAGGATCGGGAGTGCTAGCTAACGTCTAGCACAGTGTAAGAAACCTATCAACAAACTGCATAGTTCATACTAAAAACAACGTAAACACAACAGATAACGATTGCTATGCTTATTCATCTGTTTTGTGCTTTTATACACCGTACTGACCTGTAAAACAGGAGGATCTCGACGATCTTGCCGGAACGGCAAGACGACGACAGCTACGTCATCAAAACAGTCCCCAACCGGCAGCAGGCAGCGCTCTGCTGCCCCCTACTGTCTGCAGTGGAGTATATTTGTAATGTAAAAGCCTTGGAGGACTTGGTCGACTCAACATTACATTTACATGCATGTGGATGGAAGAATTTGAAAGGGGAAAGAGGATTTTAATAGATTACAAAGTATGTCTTCCACAGCAGTCAGACCTTTGGTAACTTAGGTAAAAAAAAAAACACTATAGAAATATTCTGTTGTTTGAGACACTTTCTCAAATAAAGGGAGGGAGGTGCGTGCATCCTGTAGTGGAAGATACATGGTTTGATGGACACTTTTCACATCCAATGGAGATACTTGTTCAATACATAACGTGATAAACCTTTTGAATCATATGTTAAATTAAACCTAAACAATGTGATCACACTTTTTTTTCTTTTTACAAACTAATATAAACTTTAATTTATTTATCCAACTCTTATGCCACAATATTTCTTGCTTGCTTTTTCCCCCTGTTACCATCCCCATTCCCCCTTAACTGAAATAAAAACTAATGAAAGTACTCTGAAAGTACTCTGGCTGTTAGGGAGAGCTAACCATTTGTAAGAACTGACCTGTAACTTCAGATTAGACTCCAGCTTGACCACCACCAGCACCACGTCTGTTGTTCTCATTATGGTTATGGGCCTATCTATGAAAAAGGGGAATATCCCTTTTTTTTTTTTCTGAGGTGTTTGTGAATGGCTTAGTGTCCAGATACAGCTTGGTGACCATCTGACTGATGACTCCTCAGATTGTCAACTGGCTGCTCTGGAAAAGACTCAACAGGTGCTTAGATGTTTCTGTTCTGTTTAGAGGAGCTTTTCCACAGTTCCTTTTTAAAGAACAAACAAACAAACCAAAAAACTACTGTGTTTGTGTCTACTTGTTGTTCCTTACCAATATTGACATAACGAGTTTGTTATGCATTTTTGATCAAGTGGATTGTTGGATACTTTCTCCCAGTTTCAGTAAATGCACTATCCAAATATGGACATAAATAATAGGAGAATTATGACATTACATTGATAGAGTAAATGACAAGTACAATCATTGTTACAAAAATAGATAATAACATGAAGTAAAGAAGCTTATGAGTTTTAATGACTTTTGGTTTTGTTATGGTCTGAATTGAAAATGTTACATATACATAGATATGTAGTGTACCATTTATGAGGCATTATAGCCTATCACTGGAAGTTTAATCTGTTTTAACAATGATAATACATTATAGTGTAGCTACTGCTAACTGTAAATGATAACATTTCAAAACACACAGGGCTGTCAGGCCTAAAGCTAGTTAATGACAACTCGAGGCGGTACAAATCTCCCGCTGACATTGAACATAACCCAAAAATGTCTTTACATACCTGATGAAATAGACATATGGCCTTAATCAGCACATGTATACTCTTTTCAAATAAACCACCTAATGCAGTGTAATTCATGTTTCGCCTGCAGTAACTGTGGGGCTGATGTTTTATTAAGTTACATGGTGTAGCTTCATGAATGTCATCTTACGTTTTCTTAACATAGAACATTTAGATATAGTGTAAGTAGGCTACTAGTTTGGCTAGATAGCCTATTTGATATATTCATATAGCCTATCTTTTTACAACCCTATTCACAGCCATAAGAAATTTAGGGACAGAACCAACAAAGCACCAAGGTGCGAACCAAAGTTCATGTTTTGATACATTTTGATCCATTCGGTTAGTTTTGGTTTGGTTTCACACCTTCTGCGACCACACTAAAAGACTTTACGTGACAGACTTGCGTTCTGTCATCATCATCTAAGTGGGCTGCATCTCCCCACTGCGTCTCCCTGTACTTGACATTGATTGGTTTATTAAATAGGTCGGCAGGTATCTTTGACAAGAATGAATGAATGAAAAATTAACATGTGCATAGGTAGGCTATTTGTCGCTATTGTCATTATTATGGCATTACTACCTGTAGCACCAACTCTACTGAAGGCTAGTTCAAATTCGCAAATACACACCCTCATTGTGCGAATAACTTCTCCGACAGGAAAGGAGAAGACAGCAATCCTTCTGCACCTCCGTTTCAGGAGAAACCATAGGTATGTGTACCCTACATTAAGTCTAACACTTAGTCTAATCACTCTGAGGAATGAGATAGGTAAACAGCAAGTGTAATATTAGTAAATAATAGGGCTATTATATACAGGCATTATTTTGAACTGTGAGTTTTGAAATATAGCTTCATAGCCTATGCTATGCTTGAGACTGTAGCCTAAACTCACTCATAGCCTATGTTGTGAGAAGTGTTTTTTTCTTTTAGGGAGCTGGAAACACCTTCTACTGCCCTTGAAGCACAGACTGTATTTCACCGTTTTATTGTCATATGTAATAAACAAAGATGGAATAAATTTGCAAAATTGTGTATGTGAGTTATTCCTTTACATCACAATTTACAAATATTAAAATATAAATAAATTAATAAATATTAAAAGCCAGGTAAGCTGGTCAAAATATCTTAAAGGACGTTAACAGCCTGTGCCTGTTCACCCTGTTGCCATCTAGATAGAAGATAGACATGTTTCTGCTGTCACACCACCAGACGGCAGAAGAGCTTTAAACTCAAGCTACAGTTTTTAATTTATTTCTGTTACCATTCTATAATTGTACTGCCTGCTATGTACCAGAAGGGAGTTACAAACATTTCCTTTTACAACCATGTTGTCATGTGACCATTGAACATACCACGTAGGCTAAACATTGCAGTTGTGGTCATAAGATTTTTAAAGAATAACTATTATTGTATGACTTTCTAAATAAATATTTCCAAAAGTTAGTAATATGATCATATTATAAAGGTTTTTAATACATAGATATTTGACCAGGTGGTTGTTCCTCAGCAGAGTTAGACCAAGGCTATAGCGCATAGGCCTAGCCTAAATAATATTGGAAATAATAATAATATTGCCTGAAAATGGAAATAATCCTAACCATTAACATATTCTCACAGAGAGAAATGCTTTAAAAATGAGACAGCAAGAATGAGGAAACAAACGTAATTGCGTCACACTTGTTGACGTTTTCGCGGTTTTCCGCGGCTTTTCATTCTCAGTCCGCTCTTTTGAGATGGTAGATGAACAGACATGTCGGAGAGAGGCAGAAGATTTCGAAGAAGAATAAGTGAAATCAGAGACAGAATGAACGCCCAGTTCAACAGAATTTTGAATGAAGACGGACAAGAAGCATCTTCTCTACTTCAGAGGTGAACTGTTTTTTATCATAGACTGTATAAAAATCCGTTTTTATAGATATTAGTGTAGGCTATGTTAACTGTTACTGGGTAACGTTAAACTTACACCAGACATTCCATAGTATTGCATATTAACGCTAGCATTTAAAAATAGTTGAATTAACATTATTATAATTGTAGGATAACCTGTGCATAAAGTGCATGTTTCTAAAATGCTTTTGCTGTTACTTTACAAGAAAAGTAAAAGTCTGGACATTTAGTATTTGAAAAGACATATTTTCTAAAATGATATTCAAGCCTACAACGTTAAATCTTTTGGGGATGATTAATGTTAGGCCTTATTTCCGGGGCTTTTATCATTTGAATTGAAAGTGTTTCACAAAAGGCGCCTAAAACAACAGGTAACTTAATGGTTACACCAGCTGGCGGCGCTGCAGTCTCATTGACCTCCTTCTGGAGGAAGATACAGTGTCTTACAAACTTTGTTTCAACTTCCAATATGTCCTACATCTTCTTCGTACTTGTCATATTTTTGTCCCTTTACCATACATTATTTTATTTACATAGTCAATCGGCACAAACAGTGGAATTAAAGATAACCTTAGAGTGCTATGTCAGTTAATTCATATTCATCATTTAATTTATTTGTTTAGGTTAACGTTCGTACTTCGGGTGAATATTTTGACTTGTGATGAATCTGACTGGTAAAAACAGTTGATTTATCTTGAACTGTGACTTCATTGCTGCGGTTCTGTTGTCATGACAATAAGCCACTATGTTACGCCATCTCATTTAAAAATCGTGCAAGTTTTTGATTATCCTCTTAATGAACAAGATTAACAGAAGCGGCCATTCAGCAAAAGTACCGAAGGCTACAAACTATATATTTAACAAAACATATAGGCATATAATCTCAGATTTTCAAGATTATTAAAAGCGGCAACGTGAAGCACCTTTGAGACAAAGCACAAATTAGCACAAGTAGGACAATGAAATTAGGTAAAACCTCCTTACCTGTCATTTGACAGAATACAATGTGACTAGATTAATGTGCAGATTTTACTTCTGGCACAGGCCATTTCAATTAAAGTAGAGACTTAGAATTCAGAATGTACTGAGAGCAGAACATAGAATTTACTTAATAGTTTTTCTTTTATTATGATTGTTCAACCCAAGATTGTGGAGGTTGTGCAAAGAGTCGTAACATTGTGTCTAGCGGAACCTAATGTAGTTACAAGGAACCTGTTGACAAAGCTTATTAAAGTAAATGTTAGTATTTTAACTGCATTGCCAGAATTCAGTCGGAAATACAGTAGACCTACACCTTTGAAGGACTGCAGTATAAGTAATGTTAATGTTTGTGAGTTGTTACAGTTCATCATATTTTCCGTGTGTATTTTCAACTATTCTGTAGATTCCAAACATTCAGACGAGAGGAGGGTGGCGGACCAGCCCGGAGACGCAGATGTAGCACAAGACGACAAATAACCTTCAGAGTGTCTGTGCTGAGGAGCAGCACATTGACCTGTTACAGGTCTCATAGGGGTAATCTCTGTTTTTATTAGTTTGCTAATTTACGTGGACAGATCTTTGTTAAAAAAACAAAAAACAGATTTGTTGTATAACCAGTTTTTTGTTTCACCATCTTTTACATAGTGGTTCATGACATTTTGTCTTGCTTGTTATTAGTAATAAGAACTTTGTTACGTTGTTAAAACTTGAGTAATATATCTTTTTTACGCAGATGCTACTCCTCCCTGTCGGGTCGTCGTCCCTTTAGACCTTGACGAACAGGAGTTTGTTCAAGTCCTTCAAGAAAACATCCCCGCGTTGCCTGAACACTTTGAGCTTTGCCGAGTCAATGGGCAGCGCAGCATAATAGTGTTGGAGGAGCAGTGCCCAAGGGACATACATGCCCAGAATGCCCTAGGGCGCTCTTGTCTCTACCTACGCCCCAAGGTATGCAAATATGTGACACAGCGCTAGTGTTGTAGTTTTTGGTCTGGTTTGTAGTATTTTCGTGTTTTTATTCCTGTTATGTTTTCCTCTTGTGTTTTTGTTGTTTAGACCTCCCAGTCTCCACATTCTTGTTCCTTGTCCATGATTATATGGTGTTAAGCAACACCACATACATAAGGGTGCAAAATTAAAGACAACATATAACAATTTCCCAGGCCAATTAAATTGTCTTCAATTTTGCACCCTTATGTTTGTAGTATTTTGACTTCTTGTTTCTTATCTAGCTTTTTTCCTGTTATGTTGATTATCTGATCTTGTCTAACAATTTTTCTGTCTTTGGGATTCTGTTTCTGTTGGGGATTCTGTATTTTGGTTCTTGCTGGCCTTCTCAGTTTGTATTATTGCTTTTGTTGGATATTTGGTTCATTTCTCAGACTGCCTGCCTCACCTCCATTTAAGTGGATTACCCCTTTTAGTCCTATTAGTTCGCTTCAGATGCTACTTGCCTTTACTTATAAAGATATAAAGTTGTGGCTGAAACTGTATGAGCCTTCACATGCATATTAATGTTGTTCATCATTTCATTTTAGGATGTTATGTCAAACCCCTCCATACCAGTGGAACAAACACCAGCTGCACCACCAATTGCAGTTGGGACAACTTCTCCTGCTCCATCTCCACCAATCCACACCTCTTCTCCTCCAATCCACCAACACCTTCTCCTGCTCCATCTCCACCAATCCACACCTCTTCACCTGCTCCATCTCCACCAATCCACACCTCTTCTCCTGCTCCATCTCCACCAATCCACACCTCTTCTCCTGCTCCATCTCCACCAATCCACACCTCTTCTCCTGCTCCATCTCCACCAATCCACACCTCTTCACCTGCTCCATCTCCAGCTCACAATCATTTCTATATATCCTCCGCACCATCGAGCCCATACCAGGAGGGAACTGAAGAGTAAGTACACATTTTCTGAAGATACTGTAACACCCTTATAGTGCAAGTTGAAGGTGTGACAAAAACCTGGAGAACCACTGGTTTAAATGATTGTAATTTCAGCATTTTTTCTCTATCAATACAGAGCTTTTGACATCGCTGTGGCACTTCGATCCCTACAATCAAGGGTTCACCATCTGGCTCCCACAGCCAATCAGATAAATGTTCTTCGCAATGAAGAATTTGAATGTGCCGAGAGAGCCTTCCGGCGACCAGCCTTCAATCCACAGTCCAAGCTGGACATCGTTTTCATAGATGAGGATGGTCAAGGAGAAGGTGCCATCGACGATGGTGGGCCAACAAGGGAATTTTGTAGGTTGCTAATGCAACAACTCCAGGAGCATCAAATATTTGAAGGGCCTCTTGAAGCCCGTACCCTGGCCCTTGACAGTGTTGGTATGTTTTTTTGTTTGTTTTTTTTCTTTCCAACAATGTCAGGAAACATACTCATTTAATGTATGTCCACACTCCACAGCTTTATTTAACATTACTTTGATCAATTTTAATTGTCTTTCTTTTATAGCTCTTCACAACAACACTTATAGACTTGTGGGCCAAATGTTGGCAGTTTGTCTCATCCATGGAGGGGTGTCGCCACACTTTTTTTCCAAGAGGCTTTTTAATCAAGTCTGTGGTCTTCCACCTAGTCCAGCAACCATTGAAGAGGTGGTAGACCACAGCCTTAGGGCAAAACTGGAGAAGGCAAGTTTGGAAGTCATTACACACTTTACACACCTGTCTCTGGCCAATAAATGTTCAAGTATTTGGTAGTGGCTACTCTCTATTTCTTTTATAATTTCAGATAAGCAGTGCAGTAGCGCTACAGGATGCAAGGCAGGCTGTCAATGAAGCGGCCGAAGAGTTGGCAATGATGGGAGCCCTACGGCACCTCCGCTCGTTGGACCACAGGGGGGAATTGATGGAAGCTGTCCTCCAGTTCCACTGTGAAGGCCGAATCTATGCAGCCCTCCAACAGTAAGTTGTATATTACAAACAGAAAATGTTAATTGACATCAACTGCAGCAAAGCAACTTTACTAGAACCTTGGTGTTCAAATTACAGTAGTGGGATTTCTCCTTGAGTTGCTATTGACACGTGAAGTCAAGTTATTTTAAATTAACTAATCACAATATTAAGTACACCATTTAAAGTAAATGGTTTCAGGGGAGGCTCGGTGACTGGAACTGAAACCACCATATCACCAAGTGAACATAGAATAGCCTACATGTGTGAGTTTGGAGATACAGTAGTTTTTGGTTCCCCCATCAGAGTCAGAAACTAAGTCACTGTAGTCAGAAGTCATGCTATTTTGGCTCAAATATTAAGTGTCTATGGGATCAATTAATTTAATCAAGATCCGATAGGCATCCAGGAATTAAGCAAAGCTTACAAAGTAAACTAAACTAAAGACTTGGTGGGGGGAGCGCTGTTTCCGAAACTTTGTCTGAGGGGAAGCCCGCAGTCTAAGACTTTGAAAACCCCTTGCCCTAGGTGCATGGTGAGGGAGTATTGGAGAATCTTTAAAGGTGTGAAGAGGCAGGGCAGAGGCAAAAAAATTAATACCACAAATCTGATGACAGCAGGAAATGGTAGTTGGGGTCTGCTAATGTATGAAAGGGCATTGCTATTGTGTGTCACCCTGATGGTGTCTCTCCAGAGGTTGGTCAAGACAATTTTTTTATTGATTTTTGTTTTTTACGCACACACGTGTACAGACTTGCAGGCAGAAAACGATACAATTAAATTTTTATATACACACACAGTAGTGCCAATTCATAAGTTTATCTCATTGCAGTTTTCATATAGACAAGGTCTAGACCATACTCTTAGTAATATTTACAGAGACCCAGCAATAATAGAACATGAGGTAATGGTGTTTTACAATTTCTACAATCTTGGGTAACATTGTAAAAGAACAGAATTAAATTATTATTTTTTTGCATCAGATTCAAAGAAGGACTAACTTCACTTGGTGTCCTGGATGAAGTCACCTCACATCCACAAGACTTTGAAAAAGTCTTCCTCCAGGACACAACAACCCTAAAGGCCAGCGACATTGTGGGGGTGTTCCAGGCCAGATGCCGATCCCTCCCATCATCAAATAGGAGGCGGTTGGAAGCCAGGACCATTGTATTCTGGAAAGACTGGCTCCTGGAGGTGGAAGGTATGGGTCCCTGTGCTTATAATTGTGTGTGTGTGTGTGTGTGTGTATAGGTTTATTTGTGTTGTCATGTTTTTGGTAAGTCACGTGGATGGTTTCTGTATAGTTAATTTACACACCTGTTTAATGCCAGTGAGCAGATAACAGGTGAGTGAATGGGACGCTGCTGTTTTTTGTTTTTTTGATGAACGCGGTGTTCTCTATAGTTTTGATTGATTTCTCACTATACGGTTTTCACATTTTAAGTTGCATATTTTCATCAAAAACCTAGAATATTTTTTTTGAAATCTGCGAATTATGCAGCGAGTCCGACAAACGGCACCACAAGGCCCTACCTCAGCCTCTTGGTACTTTGTTTTTGCTTTTAAGAATAGTCTCTACATTTATCTTACAATCTACTACTGGCTGTGGCTGGCTCCTTCATGAATCCTCTTGCAACATAATTTATTTTTATATCTATATACAGGTGGACTTGCTGGACCAATCACACTGGAGCAGGTCCTAATTTTTGGAACAGGTCTCCGCAGAATCCCAGCAATGGGCTTTTCAGTGCAGCCTGAGCTGGCATTTTTACACCCTGAAGATGGACATGCCAAGTTTCCCCAGGCCAACACCTGCGCGTTGGTGCTACATCTACCCGTGGGTCAAACCTACAGTATATTCAAAACTAACATGGAGCTTGGGATAGGCTCTGCACAGCAGTTTGGGTTGGCCTAAATGGTGTCTATTTGTCTTTTCACTTTTGGAGTGAAGTTCTCAGGATTTGTTCATTTGTTCATAGTTGTTTTGTTTTTTTCTGTTCATATTTTCTGTTCACAAACCTCACATTAGTTTAGTTTTAAAAAAAGAAGTAAATTGTAATTGTCATGTATTGGTACAAAATTTGTATGAAAATGCTAACTTAATATAAATACAATATTATGTAAAATTATATCACACAAAGTGTAACCTATTTATTGTAGTTGAGTAAAAGTGTGGATAATATATATATATATATATATATATACATACACACACACACACACTAGTATTATAGTGCTTTATTTCTTTTAAGAAGCAATTCAATTGTTTGTTTCAAATTAAACTGAACCAATGCTTTAATGGCCTGTTCCCATATACTCCCTCGTTCTGTCCTCATTAACCGACAGGTTTTGCACTTATCAAGTTACTTTTAGTGGCTACCAGTGTAACATTATTACCATGACCAGTTATGAAGTGCCCTAGGTTGTAATTGACAAATTGGGCAACTTTAATCCAGATCCAACTGTTTGTGGGTTTTGTTGTGCCTTTTCATGAAATTAATTATAATATAAATTTTAAATTATGCTATAGAGTTTTCGTTTTTATTAATCGAGTTTCAACAACTGCCTCTGATTGGTTATTCCTTGCCTAAAGTTGGGGTTAGAGTTAGCCAATCAGGCAGATTCGGAGGCAGGCCTCGACAGAAAGCCGGTCAAAGCAAGAAGTGTTTTCAGAACTACTAGCAAAAAGTTACTTGTATACGAAAACTCATCTGTCTAAAGTGAATTTGCATTTCCCAGGTAAGTTGATGTATACTTGGCCAGAACAATGTTTAACGTGGTAAAAATAAAGTTCTGTAAGTACTTATTTGCGACTCGTAATTGTTACTGCTCAGTTAGCAGATGAGGGAACGTTCATGCCGCCGCCATTGCTGTAAGTTAACATTAGTTTGAGCATCGGCTTGTAGCCTGGAATGAGACCTCGTGAGACCCCCTCGCTCATACCAGCATTGCGTTAATGTTACAACTAAATGGGATTTATCATGTTATGTCAAAAAACAGTGTTAAGTTAAACAACATTTAGTTGTGCAGGCAGACTCTTGAATTAATGAAAAATATTAATTACCCTTCATAGCTTTTAGTGGAAACTTTTATTTTGTGTATTTGTAGTATTTTCGTGTGTATTTTGAGAATCTCAGATTCTGTGTACAAGAGGGAAACGGGAACTCTGTAAAGTAATTGTAAACCTCGTGATATTTTTGCATTTGGTCAAAGCCAAGTTGATGGGTGGGTGGTACCAAAGACACAGAAGAACTCTCAGTTGTCCTTCTAAACTCAATTCAGACAGACATCTGAAAGAAGTTATGGCTCGGAGGACCTTCATCTTGCGGTGCAGGCACATTCTTCAAGACTGTACACGGCGTCTGTTGATGGACGATGTTGGATCTGGTGTGCAACTCTTAACATTGACGAGGTATGTTGTGATAGGCATGCTCGAAAATGTCAAAGGATGATGCACTCTAAAACTATTAAGTAAAAGGCCTGCACACACTGCTGATCGTTATGCTATATTACAGTATACAGTAAAACAGTCTGCATAGGAATTGCATGGTGCCTGGTTATGCCAATATGGCCTATATCTCTGGCTCCCACCTCAATTCCATCACAGGACCAGGAACCGACACTAGGATCATGTTTGTGGACTTCAGCTCTGCTTATATACTGTTAAATTATTACAGGAGAAAGGGTTTAAGATGGTATTGTGTGTGTTTATGTATGTCAACTGTATGTTTGTCTACAACATAATCACTATAGCAAATTCCTTGTGTATGTAAAATACTACTTGGCAATAAAGCTCATTCTGATACCAATAAATGGGTAACCATTACGCTTTCTTATTTTCTCAGGCTAGAGACAATGCACAGAAGCCTCCAGTGGGCAAGGGGAAGACTGATCAATGTCACAGCTGCAGACCAACTTCTCAGCGACTTGGCTGAATTAATTCAGGAGGTCAGAATGTCTTCTCAGCCCGGGCAACAGGGTGAGCTCACAGTGTGTTGTCTTTTGTAAATTTTATTATTATTCTGTTTCTAGTACTGCAATCATAATGACTATGACTTGAACCGGATATGTAGTTTTTAGTGTTAGCATTCTTAAACTTCCAAAGAATCTATCCTTGTGGAAATATTTGCAATATCGAGTGTGTGTGGCAGCTTTGCAGTAAAAGTTTATTTTACATACTGCGCTTTTGATGTTGAGGTTTCATCAATATTCTGTGCTGTATAAGTTGATGTTAGGTGGCCTCAACTTGTTATTATTTTGGCTATAGCCTATAATGCCTTGTTATAGAAATGGAAAGTTTCTTTCTCCTATTAAGGTTATGCAAAAGTTATAGAAATACCTCAGAAAGGTAATTTAATAAAAATATTTCTAAAAGTTATTGAACTATATTATACCATTTTAAAAATTGTACTTATTGTGAAGTTAAGCAAATTTGAGGCGCAGGTTTTTGGGTGACGAGATTTGATAGTTTCTGCGTATAAGTATTCATTAATATAACATAACAATATTCCTGTTGTAGGCTCCAGAACATAACATTTACAATTATTTACAGTTTACACCAAATATTACAGTTTGGATGATCCAAATATTTACTGTAAATGTGACAAATATGCAAAAAAGGAAGAAATCAAGAAGGGGGCAAATACTTTTTCACCGCACTTTTAAATTTATTTTTAAGTGTGTTTTATTAAAAAGGACCAGACTCGAAGCTTAAGACCTTAGCATAAATGCACAGATATTTGCAAGCATGGCACTACCCCACAGTCCATGTGTTAAATTTAAGCACGTGCCATAGCTACTGATGTTTCGTCAGATAGCTTTTAAACCCAGCTTCATGTCAAATACTGAATTGTATAAATACTCACACGTCACAATTTGTTTGCAATCCACATTATGGTTTACACTACCAGACACAACTGTATTGATTATATGTTGTATATTTTCTGTATATAATATGTACACCTTCTGTATAATGTCTGTAGTGCTTGAGTCAGTAATGGCTGGAAGAAAATTATGTGTGTTAACATACTTGGCCAATAAATCTGATTCTGATGTCATTTCAGGTAGTTTTGGCTACCAGGCACCGCTGGTTTTGAGTGGAGGTAGAGGTCGACCACATTACTGTGTCACTCGGGAACAGCTGTCATTCTTAAGGTCATGTGGCTTCACTGCACCCCAGATGGCAGATATTCTGCATGTGTCTGTGCGTACAGTTAGACGACGTTTGAGGTAAGAGACTAGGATTTCCGTGTGATGTGATATAGTCACGTAAGATTTGACCCGTAAAAACACACACTTTTATATGTAATGTGTGTGCATATTGTTTGGTCATGATGGACATTAAGAGTAACTTATGATTGTGCTGGATTACATTTCTCTACCTTTTAGACAGTTACACTGCACTCGCGCTTCATTGTATGCAGACTTGACCGATTCTGCCCTAGATGAACATGTGCAAGACATTGTGGCTGGCAATGACCTAGTTGGTCCTGAGGCTGTGAGGGCATCGCTGCATGCAAGTGGACTCCGTGTGCAGAGAAGGAGAGTGCGAGCAAGCATGATTCGATTAAATCCTGGAGCTGCTGCGCTTCGAGCAGTTCTGCAGAGACCAGAGCGACGGTCTTATCAGGTGGCAGGTCCAAACTCATTGTGGCACATTGATGGAAACCACAAGCTGATAAGGTAACTACAGCAACAGATTTATTCAGCATTTATTTTGACAAAGAAAAGGAATGTTACATCAGCTGAACGTGTTTGCCATTTTTGCTATATCAATAGCCACCTTAATAATAATTTTTTTAATCTGGTTTTAGGTGGCGGATAGTTATTCATGGGGCTATAGATGGGTTTAGTCGCCTTGTGGTCTTCCTGCGTGCCTCCAACAACAACCGCAGCAGCACTGTGTTGGACAGCTTCATCAGTGCTGTGATCCACTATGGCATACCCTCCAGGGTCAGGACGGACAGAGGAGGTGAGAACAGCGCAGTCTGGCTGATGATGAACATCTACAGAGGCTTTGACCGTGGCAGTGCTCTCCGAGGCCGGAGTACCCACAATCAGAGAATTGAGAGGCTCTGGGGTGATCTCTGGCGTGGACTGACGAATGTCTATTATGACTTATTCCACCATCTGGAGAGCGAGGGCATCATTAATGTTGACAGTGAGAGGGACCTCTGGGCTCTCCATTATGTCTATCTGCCAAGGATCAACCGGGACTTAAACGACTTTACAAATCAATGGAATAACCATGGTTTGAGAACAGAGAGACACATGAGCCCACTACAGATTTTTGTTAGAGGCTGCCTTGAGCAACAGGGCCGACCATCAACTGCCATGCAGGACATCTTTGTGGCCAGTGCTGCTGGTGGTGGTGGTCAAGAAGCTGCTGCTGGTGGTGGTGGTCAAGAAGCTGCTGCTGCTGCAGCTGGTGGTGGTCAAGAAGCTGCTGCTGCTGCAGCTGGTGGTGGTCAAGAAGCTGCTGCTGCTGCAGCTGGTGGTGGTCAAGAAGCTGCTGCTGGAATTCCTAGGACAGAAGAGCTGGAGTTGCTGCTAGACTGGCCAGAAAGACGGATTACTGTGCCTGACATCCAGTACATGTTGGAAGGTCCTGTAATGGAGGAAGTGCAAGCACGGTTCGACCCACTCAGTGGCCCCAGAGGAAATCATGGCATACAGATTATCCGTGATCTTGTATCCTTTTTGGATTCAGCGTTGGGATCACAGGGACTTCACAGATGAAGGTGTTCATATTTGATCTTAACTGAACTTTCTTTCATGTGAGTCATTGAACTTGCTCAGGAATCCCCAAAAAGGCAGTAGTGAAAAAGAAATGTATTGGGTTGGAGGCAGGGATGCCCATGTAGGGCTTTTGTACTTTTGACAACTTTTTCCACCACTGTGAAAGACGTACTTTGTAATCTATTAAAATTCTGTCCCTATTTTCCCTTTTAAATTCTTCCATCCACTAGATACAACGTGGATGGCACCACTCAGATGACTGGGAAGCCTATCTGTCCCCATCTCTTAAAAGAAGAGTATCACCACAGCAGCCCCACTGTGCGCATCCAGCCAGCCAGTTAAAGAGCTGAAGTTCAAACAGCCCCAAGAACTGAAGGTTTTGCCCAAGAACTTCCACTCACCCTACGATGGACTGGACCACGAGTGATGCCCGTCACCAGCTGGAGCCTCACGCAGACGCGCACACACACACACTGATGTACTTAGGCTATATTAGTTACAGTTGTTCATTAAAATGAGCGTAATTATATTTTTGCATTATTTTTTAAATACCTTTTACTGGTTTTAATGGTTTTAACATAATTCCTAATTGTTCAAAGTATTAAGTCAAATATCTGGTAGTAGTCAAGACTCCAATCAATTGTCTCTCACAAATAGTCTGACAGATTCTTTATCCTGGTTGTTCATAATAATAATTTTGAATGTTGTGTGGTTTACACAGTAAAATAAATTTCAACCTTTACTGATTAAACCGATTTCATTTTGTCATTATCAGCCAACATTATTCACAATGTAAAGATAGCTTATTGATGATTAACATGATTTCAAAACAAGCATCTTATTATTTAGCTTAGGTATCATCAGAAGGTATGCTTTCACAAAGACTTCAGGTAACCTTTCTCAAATATGTCCATTTCGGAGGAAAGCAATTCAGCGTTTTTTAAAAACCAAGTATCTTAATAGCCTGCAGATGCCTTTTCAGGATCAGAAGGAGCTTTATTGTCAAGTAGTGTTTTACACATACGAGGAATTTGCTGTGGTGATAAGGTGCTACATGTAGACAAACATACAGTCAACATAAATAAATGTGGAAATATATAAATATGGAATAAGATAAGTTTTTGTAGCAACTTGTATAGTGTAGTGTTTTGGGGTAACATAAATATTATCGCAGGAGTCCGGAAGGATAGCTTTGGATAAATAAATAAAAGCCAGGGATAAATGACAAGTTTTCCCTGAACCGACTGAAACACACGTTTGTGTCAGGTTGCCTTTGGCCTGGATTTAGGATGACATGGTAAAACAAAGCTTTGTAGAAACAAGGGTAGGCTCGCTATCAATACTACACCGACTGAAGGGCTCATAAAAAGACAAATGAGGCTTAAACTGTTCACTGATGACCATGTAAAGATAGTTGTTCCACTTATGGTGATTTCTTACTTTCTTTGTGTTTGTATGTTCTATTTTAGGAGATACTTTAATCTGACAGTGATGATAAATAAAATGCAAATTAATTATTTATGTCAAATTTGATCTAAAATCATCAATCACTAGATGTTACAAGCTATAACCTAGAGTAGCTAAATATTTTTAGTAAATGTAGTCAATTTACTTGATCAGTCTGGGACTTTTGTGTTGAGTTTTTCATGCTTGTCTGTGGTTACTTTATGCCTTTGAGTGGCTACGATCACAGTAAAGTAGATCAGTGCTGAATTAGTGTGGTCTGTTCTTCTTCTGTACTGATTGGGTGACAACAGTTCAAATTTAGTGGCTGTAAAATCCACAGGGCGGAGCTCATTATCATTGTACAAAACGCCGTTTTTTACGCCGTTTGTTTAGTTAACTAAACGCCGCTTTTTACGGCGTGCCAAAAGAAAACGGCGTTTTTCGCGGCGTTTTTATACACAAAACGCCGTTTTAAACGCCGTTTTGTTAGCAAAACGTGCTACAAGAGTGACGTTTTTTGGCACTAATGGCTTGCCATACACCTGCACTTCGGCACGCGCTCAGCAACGACCGCGAAGCGCCGCGACCTCGGCTTTTCCCTCGTTTCCAGCAACTTACTTACTTTTTATTTTCTTTGGTTTGTTTTGTTAAAAGTTATCAGACCGTTAAGTTACACAATTTTAATTCAAGAACGACCAAGTTCTTTTAAGCTTTATTCATCAAGCTAACTTACACTGCTTCCACCGACACCCGGACCCAGCCAAGTGGGCCCGCCAGCATTAACAAAAGACGACCAAACCTTTAACCCGAGCCAGAGTTGTAAAGGCCTCCCACTGAAGGTTTTGTTCAATAAGCTGACCAAGACGGACCTCTGGAGCAATTCCCTGGCAGAGAAAGCCACTGGCCGACGGCTTTAAGCTGTCCTAACCGAGAACGCACGGAACTCCACCAGCGTGAGGCCGCCGACCAGCAACCCGGCTGGTAGAAACGACAAGCAGTAAGACTAAAACCCTGCATTCTGTGATCAGTGATGTCCAATAGTCTGTTAATCGATTATTTTTAACCCTTAAACTCATAGCTTGCGTTCATTAGCTGCCCGTATGAATCAAATTCAAATCAAAAAAGAGAACCCAATTTACATAGAACTCCACATTCTTGTTGTTTGCCTCATGTTTGTTAGCCATTGCTTATTTCTTTGTGTATTTAACCGCATTTATTTCACCTTGGTTATTTAATAAATTTCACCGTAATCACAGGAATTGTGTGTGTATTGTCTAACTCCAAGTCCCTGTCATGAGAATTTACTACTGATTTAAGATAATTGAGCGATTATTAACTATCTGATCACTAGTGAATAATTGTATAATTATTAAAACGCTCTGGGTGAATTAAATCTCTGGTTGTGCCCTTTTCCCGAGGTTTATGAGTAAATCTTTATGAAATATTAGTTTTCAGAATTTTATCAAAATCATGCGTAGACATGCTACAAGGGTAATAAGAAGAAGTAGGAAAGCAACACAGAAAATAAACCACAAATAATAGAATATATCTTTTATATTTTCCCTTACATGCCTTCATGTTTATGTGAAAATACATAGTGAGAATGGGAGAACAACACATAGCTCGTTGTTACTGTGTGATTATAGAGTACAGGAGAACAGTGGATACTTTAATACTTCCCACACCCCTAATAATACTGTGTAACTACAGGATAAAAAGTGGATTTTTTACAACTCTCTGCTTACCTTATTAGTCTTGTGTAATGTCTGTAACTTAAAGAATGAAAATAAATACTGTACCCCATTAAACATTTAAGATTAGCTATGTTTGATCCACCTTCATATACAGCATATGTGACATTATTACATAAGTGTAGCCTATTACTTGAGACGGGTCCTTTAGCTGCAACGCAACATTAACTACAAATAATTTTATTCATTGCACATTATCAGCCCAGTGCCACTGCACTTTTTTCTGGATTTGTTGTTCCTAAATAAAAGGTTTGTCATAGCTAAATCAGATTGTGAGAGTCATTCTTTTTTCATTATTGCTAAAGTAGTTGCCTTTACATCCAAAGGTCTAAAGATCTGTTGATCTTAACTGTGGAGTGTTCATTCATTGTAGACATTGACAATGAACTTCAGGATGTAGCTGTTCACAAATACTATGCAGTATGTAGCCTAAGGAACAATCCTTGTCTTATAACAGACTAAGACCATTGAAGTAGTCACCTTAGTCATCATCGCAACAATTGGCCCCCCTGAGAGATTTGGCAGGAGCCACCACTGCTATCAACATTATTATTATTTTAGAATTATATTGGTAGAACTGTTACACTTTATGGCTTGATGTGCTGTAAAAATATTTGTATAATAATTATTTTGATTGTCAATCTAGGAACAACATGAGATGCCATCCGACCCTCCGTGGCCTCCCAGTGAACCTGCTAGCGGATGACTGACGTCTTCAAAACCTGCAATGTAAGTACTCAGTGTGCTCACAGAAATGTCAATATCAACCACAAGCAGTATGAAATGTAAATGTAAAATTCTACGGAAAACCAACTCAAATACCTCTTCCAGCAACTGACAGTTTTAAAGAGATGAAAGGGTAGGTTTGTAGGGGGGTTTTGTAGTCTATCTCGAAACAATACTAAAATATGATGTGTATAGTGAAGGTTATTGTTGGCTATTAGCATCCCCTTCATAGGCATGGCCAAATTGTTAGAAATTAGGGACAAATCGCCACTTCTCCTTTCATGAAAATTTTTTTTCCAAACCTCCGAAGACCTGGGCTTTGATTCTGTGTGTATTTATATTAGTTGCATTGTCTTTGAACAGGACATACTTTTACAAGAAAATGAGTCTGTGTACCCAATGTGTAACAAAAAAGAAACGGACATCAGAACATGTTCGGCAAGTGACCCTATAGGGCACAGGCATGTGCCCATTAACGAGTAAGTCTAAGTTGAGCAGAATGAAGTGAAGGGATCCCAAAACGTAAAAAAGTCTCCATATAAAGACACAGGATTTTAGGAGGCTAAGTTTAGTTAAAGCTAAATAAGGGTTAAGCGGTCTAGTTAAAAATTAAAAGGATATTGTTGTTGGGTCATTGTGTTGGTTTACTGTTGGAAGGAAGTATCACACTGCTGCAGCTCAGCAAGTAAAGACACAAAGTGTTAACTACTAAAAATACTTAGGATATGTTTTGTGGCTTGTCTAAGTCAGACTGTTGAAGTCTCATAACTGTTTCTAATGAACTTTAGAATCTTGTCCTCATTCACTTACAGTTGAGTAACATTAAGAAAGCGTTAGAGTCAGTATAGATAGAAGGATTCATAACAGCCACCAGTAACTCTTAACATTTTGGCATGTGAGTATTGTATCAAGACAGACTTGGAAAAAATACAAAATATGCTTGGTGTGGGGGGCACCGATGAGCATAGAGTGCTAGTGCTTTCTTTTATAATTATCCTCATAATTGGATTGGGGTTTTTTTGCAGTGCAAAGATGAATCAGACATCATTGCTGGCACTTCTCACTGTGGTCACTGACACTGACGCTCCTTGTGCAGTCCGCTTCAGCCACAGTGAAAGGTGGCTGTGGATGGATTTGTTAGTTTCTCTGGAGGTGGTGATGGGGCAGTGGGTAAGCCAGATGCCTTTGGTGTGAGAGACCTAGTTGCTTCAGAGCCGTGCGACCTCTGACATATATAGCTATTGTAAGTAGCTTTGGATAAAAGTGTCAGCTAAATGTTAATGTAACTCATGTACAAACTCCCGAAAGCACTTCTGAACTGGCCGTTCAGGCCAGCTGTGATGAGGTCCACAAGATTAGGTACGCACGCACTCACACACACTGACGGGTGGCTGATGATATCACTTCCTCCTCCTGCAGGTTCAGCGACCTGTTCGCCTGGGCGGAAGAATACGAGGACTCCCAGACCAAGCCTCCCAAGTCCCGCCATAAGGCTCTGGCCTCCTCGCCTCGCTCCCGGAAAGGAGTGGGTCTGCCCACAAACGAGGAGGAGATCGCCCCACCTCAACCTGCTCCTCTGTGTGAGGACAACCTGAATCTGCGTCTTGTTCTTTGGTTGGTCCGTTTCAATACTATGATCTTAGGGCTTAAAGTAGGTCTCTAGCAACGTATTTGAAGCCTACTGTCGCTGTTTAATGAATGAGCGCCACTATTAAAATTTCACACGATCGTTAATGATTTTCAGTAAACTACAGTAACAATCAACGCATGGCTGTCTCCCTCTACTCATTCTTTAAAGGATGAGCGAATGTGAGAGAGCGGCAGAAAGTGACGGTGAAAGTTAGCGGAGGATAAGATCAGCATTAAGTTGTTATGTTACAGCTCTGTCCTCTACTGTACATCTTGATCGTTAAATTAAAAAAGGACGGTGTTGACCACGGAGGAGCTGAGGTTAGTAACGTTAAAGTAAATTAGGGATGCAAACTAACGCTAGTCCTTTTAAGCTAATGAGGAGATTATTCTTTTGGATTTTGATGTACAAATGAAATGCTTGTAGTAATGCAGAAGGGAGGTGGTTCTCATGTTGCCTATTATGTTAATTTCTACAAATGTATAAAGCAGTAAATTAAGACACAAAAGGCAAACATGAATAATCCTATCTGTAATGATTCTGAGGTCTTGTGTTTCCCTGCCATTATAAGATGGTGAGGCTCAAAACAGCTTGGTGCTGCGCAATGAATATAAAATCATTGTGGAAAGCATCAAAACAAACCAAATGAATTTTCCCAGATCTAATGGTTATAATTCAACTCCAGTAGACTTATTTAGCAAGTTTAGATTTTGGGGGGTAGTTTATTATTAATCTGCCCTAGATTTTCCTACTTATTCACTTATTCAGTGTTCCAAAATTATGTGGAATTGCATATTTCTTTATTGGAAAACATAATTTTCTTATTCCCAATCCCCCCACACAAAAATACCATCTTATTTTGTATATTATACCATTATACTATATATAGTGTAGGACTTCTTATTTTAAACAATCTTTATTAGCTATCTTTATTTGCTTATGATTCCATAAAACTCCACATTTAAAGCTCCCTTTTTATATTATTTAAGTAAAAGTGCTGGTGATGGAATAAAGTTATGCATAGTCGCTTTTTCCACAAAACACAGTAAAGTAGGTAGTAAAAGGAAATTTTGTTTATCTCAAAGGAATTTCTTTGCTCAAGAGATTAAAGTTATCACTTAACACCTAAAAATATCATTAATAATCAGGAAATAGAGAATGTTCAACATTATTGCAAAAACGAATGAAAACAAATTGATTATCTAAATTGTTGCTGGTTAATTATCTGATCAAAGCAGTCAGTTACTTTGTCTATTCAGCTTTATGCTAGATGTGCCTTATTGTGTCTGTTAAATGTAGAAATGACGGAAGATGTTGTGAGAAGATGATACTAATAAAGAGAACTTGAATTGTAAAAATGGAGTTGTATTTGTATTTTTGAGGACTACTATCTGAAAATGGGCATTTTGTAAATTTTAAGTTTAGTAATTTTGTTGAGTGAGTTAGTTTCGCTCAGCGTATAAGTTATGCACAATTACATTTACTGAGTAAAGAATAAGTGGAATTTAATTTCTATAAGCATCAGTAAATCAATGTAATTTAGTGTGTGGAAATTAAAGTTTTATTTCTCAATTTATTTAATATTTACTCAAAAATATTATTACCACTACTTAAAAGTTTGAGGTAATCAGTTTCTGCAAATATTTTGAGTATTCTGAACTTATTCAGGTTTACAGTGTAGCTTATCCGGGCTAACAAGGAAGATAATTTGTGTGCAGTTTTTATTTGCCATCTTCGGCTGGTTTAATTCAGCCACTCAAAATGTACCTAGATAACTTTTTTAAAACTTAAGCCTTGAAAACTTGAGCCCTGTCTCATCTCAGGGCGTCAAATAACGACGCTTTGAGAAAGCCTGAAAAAGCACCGGTATTAGATGCGCAAAGTAACCTTCAGCGTCTATATGTATGTATCATAATTGTTTTGAATGTTCTACCTCAGATATGCTAAGTCACCCACTATCTGGCAAGTTTTGATCTGACCATAAAGAATAGTTTAAAACCACAATTAACCATCTGGTTAATTTTCACTCAGCAGCAAAAATCCGCCTTTAAACTTGAAAGAAATAATGATTTGACATTTATCATGATAATTATTGATATTGATTGATATGAAATTTTTTGTAGTGATAACATTTTTGGCCTTATCTCTTTGTCAAGCTTTGTTATTTGATGAGAACATGTTGTGTCATTACATTTAACACACATCACACAATCTTCCTGAGCAGAAGATACCCAGTTGTTATGGAATTGTAGATGCTATAGATGCTTCATTTTTGTAACCATCATAACAGCTACTGAATGGAACTTGTAGTGCAATTTTCTCCTTTTTTTTAATCAACTACTGTGTCTGAGGTCAATTAACTTTTGATCTCAACTTTTAAGCTCAGCACACAGCTCTAATAGAAACATAAATTTGATGATCTACAATTTCATGAAAACTAGGCAAAATATATCTGCTGATGAAGACCATGTAATACAATCAAAAGCTCTAGAAAACTACTAAAAAGGGCCTTGTGGTAAATTTTGTACAACTACATGATGCAATTTCCAGTGGAAGTCACCTGTTACTGTGACAACATGAAGAGTTAAATAGAATATATTTTGGGCACGAAACAGGCTAATCATCAATACAAATAAATGCATGCACACTTTCGCAAAATACAAAGTATAGACTTATGCACCTTTCATCAACACACAAAAACACACACACACTTCATGCTATGACACCCCACCATATTCTGAAGTGGTGGCAGAGCTTGAGTGAGGGAGCGAGGAATATTTCATGTCTGTCTGTAGGCTCTGACATTAACAACTAAAGGTGATTTAACTTCCTAATTCATCCACCTCTGTTATTTATGAGCCAGCAAGGCTTTTTAGCAAGCACTGATGGATCTCTCTTGCTCTTTTTTTCTCCACCCTGGAGGAAGTGGTAGCATCATAAAAACTGAGATTGGCGAGGGGAAAGGGAGGTGGAGAAAAGTGGGGAACAAAATAATGTTGCAGAGGTGTGACAGGGTCATGGTTGGTTGCTAAGCCACCCAGGACAATAGATTTCATTTTAGAGAAGCATTCTAGCCATCCCTCCATTTCTGTCATTCTCTTGCGGTGTCCATTCTCCAACATCCTTTTTCTCATCACGAAGTGTCTGTCTTATCTCAAAGTTATACTCTCCTCAAGTAATCTGTCTCTCTACTAAGCTTTTTCTAGGCCTGGATATACCCCTCACACACACACACACACACACACACACACACACACACACAGAGTCTGGGTGTCTGTTGTCTCTTCCCCCCAGTGTCGCTTAGCTTCTCGACGTTTGGCCTGAAGGCTGCTGCTGTGATCTTCCCTTTAGAGTCTTTGCTTGTCATATTGCCTGGAGAGCACAAGTGTCAGAATCCAACAGATGCAGAGTACACACAGTTATTCACACACTCAATTTTGTGTGTTGTGTTTACCTATTCTGAAAGAGCCAGTTTGGTACTATTCAGATACCACAAAGTAAAGGCTCCACTGATTCACAGTTTTATTGTGGTCTGAACCACAGACCAATTCCTTGAGACGGTCCTCCCAAGAAATACAATAGGAATAGCTTTTTCAGAAAATTCTTAAAAACAAAAATGTTTGTTTGCATGTGTCCTTCCATGTCCCATGGGAATTATGACTCTTGTCTCTCAGGAGCAACAGAGTGAATATTGTGTGTTGTTATATAGCCACAAAGTCCGCAGAGGGAGGAGTTCAAGATGCATCAACAAATTGTCAGACTTTGCTTCCAGCTCCCTACCTATAGTCAACGTCGGTTTCTTCAAACCATGACGACGATCATTCCCTGACCTCAACCAAGTAATTTTTTAATCCAAACCATGATCTTCCCCTAACCCTTACCAAGTGCTATTTGTGCCCAAACCTAACCAAACTTTAAAAATCCTGCTGAAAGGGCAGTCACATCAGAAAATGCTTTATTTTACAGGTCTGTAATTCCCTGATAATTAACAGATACTTTCCTCTGAAATTTCCTTGTAAGAAGTAATTGCATTTATAGGGAAAATAGAGAGTGATTGGTTGGTACACTTCCAATTAATTCCAAATGCTAAGCTAGTGTTACCTTGAGGCCTTTGCTCAGTGATCTGCAGGTCAGCTAAACATGCAAAAATATGAAATTTGTATATATACAAGCATACAATTCAGCATATAAGAAGAATTAAATTTCTTATGATAAATACAGTTGAAATAATAAATTTACTTGGGTTTAAATTAAGTACTTCTTTATTCTCTAAAAAATCTCAAATAATTTTGAAAATAATTACCTCAGCAGATGTAATTGAGCTAACAAAAGTAACCGTCTCATTATATTTTCTTCCTGTAATTAATACCTAATGACGCAGTTCTTTCCCAAAATACATGCGTGCACGTGTCGTCCTTACAAAAAACACAGTGTGGTTTCATTTGTACAACTTGTTTCAATTACAGGGCATCCCTCTGATGCCTTCCACATCAATATTTCATAGCGATGGGATCATTTTCACTGACATGACAAGCAAACAACACCCCTGACAGTTGTGATGATGTGTGTGTGTGCATATGTGTAGTTATAATTTATTTTCTGTCTCAACAGGTTCCACATCTCTGATTACTGTGACCTGATAACGTGCTATTTGTGTTGTTGAGGTGAGAGTGTAGGATAAAAAATACACAATGTAAGCATTTTTCTCCTTGATGCAGGAAGACAGGAACTCAGCTAGAGGTCGCCTGTATTTATTCGGAGTCACTTTTTATGATATTACCAACAAGCCATTAAAATCAGAGTGGTAAACAACGAGTCAAGAACACCCAGAAAGCGAGTACAACCCGCTGGCATATTTAAAATAAATTATATTTGTTCTTGCTGTGATTCCCACTCAAATTAATTCAGTACATGGATGGACCTAAGGCACTCACTATTGTTTTTCTGACTTCTTTGTCACTGTTATTGTCATTATCAGACTCTGTTTTCAAAGTGTTTTCTGTTTTTGGACTTTGACGTGTCTTATTCCATTAGTTAAAATGCTCTCTAAATTTGCATGGAGTTATGGTGGAGCACATAAATCAGGCTTGACACGGCTCAAACCTGAGGCAATCCAGAACCACTGCAGCATTTCATTTACCCAAACACTGTTAAAACAACTTTTGCTATAATCTCCTGTCTTTAGTGCTTAAACAGATTTGCACATTATTGATTCAACCAAAACCCACGGATACATAACAACTGTTGACAGTAACGCCAATTTTGTTCCAAATCTTAACCAGGATGGGTCACTAGCAGTAAGTATAAATAGTCATTCATGAAAATTCACTAAGCT